ATGCACTCCCACACATATATTTGCTCATTCCTATAGGAGCATATATGATCTTTATCTCCAATATGAAGGATGTGCAGCACTGAAGGACATTTGAGGTGAAATAAAAATAATGCGTCTCTGTTCTGACTCACTCGAACATAATGTGTGAGAAAAAAAGTACAGTTAGGTAATAAGCAGTTTATTTTCAATGGATTTGTGGGTTCAACAGCAGGTGTTCAGAGGATGTTCATGTCGTCATCCTAATGCTGTTGGTGGAGAATTACCTCCTATTGGAGGGTGAAACAGTTGTCCTTTCAGTTTTCTCCTTTCTCTTGCTCATCTTGTGATGTTTCTTTATCCTCTGTTTGCTTTGTCAATTGTTATCTTTCACCACATGTCATTTTTTGTCGTAGGCACTCATCATTGTCCTCATCCTTTATCTGTTTTGTCTGCCTTCTTTCTCCTTCCCATACCTACAGTGTCCTTTTTAGGGATCAAAACTCTCAGCTGTCTGACGCATTCTCTCATCTAAAAGACGTAGAGACGGGAAATGGTAGTTGAGGGAGAGTCGCTGTGGGATTCAGACATTTTTATGAGGATATTAAATGTATTAACTCACTCTGAGTTGGTCTCATTGCCAGCAATATCTCTGCGCTAAGAGACTTTCTTTTCATTTCGTGCATCTGTTATGGGTCTTGCCTCCATAAGTGCTTACACTAATGCCAATCACTGAATCCTTCACTGCCACTTCAGCTGTAATAACCTGCAGTCTTACCTGAATTCAGGTTTACATTCTCCTGGCTGCCACACATTAGTCACTCAGCCTTCTCTGCCAAAGATCTCACCCTAACATGACAGCGTCTCATTCTAATAAAACTCTATTGCACACAGCCTCTCATTCCTGCAGGATGGGTAGTCGACGCAGCATCTTTCTCTTTCTGCCTCTAGGGTCTCCTCACTGTTTTTCTTCTCTACCTAACTTGAGCTGAATTAGGCCTCCTGTGTTTTTTAATGGTTTCCAGTGCCTCACAGCAGGCACCAGAGATCAATGTGAAGAAGGCATTGTAACATGTCTGTAATTTGCCTTATTTATTTTGCTTTCTTTTTTAACTGGTAGGAAATTGTAAAGAGGATCAGTTATTCTGGCACTGTACACCTAGGGGTGCTGCTATCAACCCCACTATTTTGGTTATAATCCAATTGAAATGCATCTGTTTGTTATAACCTACAAACAGAGCTGGGGAGCCTGGCTCTGACAAACCATCCAGTACAGATGCTTGGCACAGACCAACACTGACTGGTCCACAGCAGGGTCTGCACACTTGACACTTGGTTTTAGATATGTTTATCTAGAAAAAATATCCATTTAAAGACAGTATGTAGAATCCTGCCTTTGTTTGTAGTCTTTCTGGCTCTGTGTCATCTCCTCATTACTCTTAATATGTCTCTCAGCTTCCTCTTAAACCATTGTTTGGACATGCATTTCAAACCCCTAAATGATATAGCAGTGGTGTCTCACAGGGGGCTAATGTACTTGGTAGTCTGAGATAAACTTTACTAATCCAGAAAATTAACATAAGCACATTGTCAAGTTTGAAAGTTCTGTTAGGCAGCTGGACGTGAATTTTCTAAAAGATGTTTCACCTCTCATCCAAGAGGCTTCTTCAGTTCTAACTGGTGGTGGGGAGTACAGCAAATATATACGTGGTGTGATTTTTTTTTTCTTTTTTCATTTGTTCTTTTTCTGGAAAATATCTTCTTTTTTTTCTTCTGTCACACCAAGTTTCCCCCTTTAATCCATGCCAAGATGAAGCATTGTGTGTTATGGATTCCCAATCCAGGTAAGTAGGACCCAATTGCAGGACACGATCTCCAATCAACACAGTTTATTTACAAAAAGTACAGTGAGTGAATCGGTGATGGCGTGGATGGTGAAGAAGTCCAGTAAAAAATGAGGTGACTCCAAACAACTGCTCCCTTTCTCCACACACGTGTTCTCTCCATGACTTGAATTCAACTCCAATTCTCCTGTAGGACGGACCTTCCTCCCTCCTGATTGGGAGTGCCAGCAGGTGTGCGCCTCCACCACCGAGCCAATCACCATCTGCTGTGAATCATGAACAGTGGGCATATGCCCACACCAGGAAGCCAACCACCACATTGTGATTGTTTTCCCCCCTGGTCTCTCAATCAGTCTCACCTTTTCTCACTTTTTCCTAAACATTACAGCAGTTGTCCACCCTTGTTGCCGACAGTGTCTTTTTCATTCATCCCGAACACTGCTCTCATAATGTTAGTCTGTGTTGGTGTCCCGGTTTTCAGGATGTGGTTAGTGCTGTTACTTCTCACAATGCTGATGGTGCAGAGGCTTGTTGTTGTGTATCATTTAATTCAGTGTCAGAGTGGCAGGTTTATGGCTGTAGCCATAAATCTTTTTCCTCACTAAGATTGTTGTCATAGTGATATCTCAGACTGTGTTGCATCCTTTACATATACAGTAGGTCTATCTTTATATTTTCTTTCAGTGATAACGGTAATAACATTTTTTTAATTATGGGTGTCTGCAGATTTTATTATTCCTGACCTCAGCTGCCTCAGTGACGTCTTCTTGTCATATAGGTTGTCCATGAGATCGACACCCTCACTTGTGACCTGCAACTGGAGGAGGACGGGATGACAGACAGCTCCAAGACAGACACACTCAATTCCAGCTCCAGTTCCACCACCACCAATGCGTCCAGTCTAGAAAAGATAAAGCTCTTCCCAGAGGACAGCGTCTTTAAAAAACCTTCTTCCATCATTCCAGTCCCCATCAACCCCTCGGCAGTCCTGGCTGTTATTAAAAGATCCCATCCACCTTTACCACCACCAAGGCTTGCTCCACTAAGAACTGAGGAGCACAACATCAAGAATCTGCCTCATCTGACATTAGTGTTATCAGCAAATTTATCCAAGGCCAATGGGTCTCTAATAAGAAATGGTGGAGTCTTTCCAGTGAAACCACATAGAGATTTATTCTCTTCCACACTGTGTTTCCTTTCTAGTGACAGTGGGATACCTGTGTCAGGGCTTGTTCCCACCTTGCCCAGACCCATGCCCTTATTGCGTCATGAGAAGAACAAATGCCCCGAGGCCCCTGGTAGGGAGCTGCGTGAAAGGGAGCGTGTTCATTTTAGCGAGAAGGTCCAGTATCACGGCTATTGCCCAGACTGCGACCTGCAATATGATGTAGACAACACAGAGTTTCACCTACAGGCAGAACTGAATGGCTTGAGGCTCTGCCCTGTACACTGCTGCTCTTTCTCACCACCTCCTCCCCCTTGTGCTCTTTCTCATAATTTACTGTTGGAAAATGGCAGCTTCTCGCTCAGCCATAGTTTTCCCCCAACAGTAAACACTCCTCCACCTTTTGTGCCTCCTCATCCCCCTTCCTTTAAACCCCAGAAAACAATCCTACGCAAATCAACCACCACCACCGTTTGACCTTGTTCTCCTTACCTTAAACATTCTTGAATCATTCATAGTGTTTCCTACTTTAAGAGTGCTTTCTACTGTAGTGAACTCTGGCTATTTCAAACAGAGGGAGGAAGGGTTGGGGAAAAACAGGAAAAAAACAGGATGGATAAAGTGAGCAAAAGAGAGAAGAAAGTATTGCCATGAGCAGTGAGATGTACACAGAGAGATCAGGATGAAGCGGTGAGTCTTTGTGTGTGTGTGTGTGTGTGTATGAATTTTTTTGTTAAGCAAAAGAAAGCTCAATTCCTTGGTGCATGTCTCTGAGTATGCTTTCAAGTATTTGTTTTTATTTATGAATGAACTTTAAATTTTTACAGCACAAACAATGCTGACACAACATAAACACAAAATCTAAATGCTGTTTGTGTCTTTTGCTGCTAACGAGTCTAAAACTCAGGAGGGATTTTTTTTTTCCAGAAAAGTGCTGTGATTAATTCATGTCCTTCTAGATGAAACAAGAAAACCTGCTTCCCTCAGATTCCATCAGAAGCCCTCAAGCTCTTTCCACACACTGATCCCTTAACTGCACACAGGCTTTGAGTAAAGCGGAATACACAAGCATATGTGTCACTACAGAACAGGCAATGGCATCTGTTACCCACACATCTAACAGGAGAATTAGGTTCTATCATTTTTCCTCCTCCGTCAAGGCCTCTTTGTTTCTACAAGGCAGGTTTCCCTGATGTGTCAAACAGAAGAAGTGAGAAATTAGAGGGTGTGAGAAAAGACTGACAAGATCACTGGAGAAGAGATGTGTTATATTAAAATTCTGCTTTTCAATGGTCTGTCAATAAAATCTTGTACTGTATTTTCCGCACTATAAGGCACACTTAAAATCCTTTAATTTTCTCAAAAATCGACAGTGCGCCTTTATAATCTGGTGCGCTTTATGTATTAATTCTGTAAAAAAAAAGGTAACCTAGCCTTGGCTTGTCCAACTTCTTCTCCTTCGGACTTTTTAATGGTAGCCCTGCAACCTTTGGGTCACAAGACTGCCATCTACTGACTCGATTAATTAAAGTTGACATTAGAGAAAAGGGAAAGGAAAAGAGGGGTGGCAGTAGAGAAAAGACCAATAAAAACATCGTAATTCATGAAAATAAAAACAGTTTCTCTACATACAGGGTGGGCCAGAAAGTTTTACCCATTGTAAAACACGATCTCTATCTTTTGTCCTAGAAGCCTAAAATTTTGGATAGTTTCTCTCAAAAGGCATAACTTTTGATGTACCCGATTTCATTTGTTTACTCCAAATGAGTGTCGAGTATGGCATCGAAGGGTAAGCACGACCAGATTGTGGCCTTGAAGGAGGCTGGACTGACAACAAAGCAAATCATGAAAAAGGTGAATATTTGTCATAAGACTGTCTACAATGTCATGGAACGATACAAGGAGACTGGCAAGACCACCAGCAAGCCAATCCCTGGAAGAAAACGTTCAGTCCGGACCAAAAGGGTTGTTGAGATGGTGAGAAATAGAGTCCAAAGGAATCTTTGCAGGAGCGTGAGGACAACAGCAAAGGAAGTAAACATCTCGAAACCTTCACTGAGAAGAATTGTCAAACAGGATCTCAGACTGAAAGCACTAAAAATGCAACACAGACAGCTGATTTCAGCCACTTCAAAGAAAAAACAGCTTGACAGGGGGCAAATGATGCTGCAGGAGATCCAGAGTGCTGCCAACAAAGTCCTGGTTTGGTCTGATGAGAAAATCTTCACCGTTCAGGCAGTGGTCAATTCCCAGAATGACAGGGTTTATGCACATAGTGCACAGTACTATGACGGCTGCAGAACTAATTTCCATTGTTAGAAACCAGCTGGAGTCATGTTGTGGACTGCGGTTGCATCTTATGGCTCAAAGTCTCCTTTGGTCTTCATTCAGGAGGGTGTGAAAGTGAACAGCCAGGTCTACCTATAAATGCTTGAAGAAAAAGTGTTGCCATGGTGTACCAATGTGTTTGGAAAACAGTATATCTTCACACAAGATGGCGCACCCACTCACACATCCAATGTCACACAGACCTGGTGCAAGCAGCACTTTGCTGGCTTCTGGGACAAGACCATGTGGCCTCCGTCACGTCCGGACATCAATCCAATGGACTTTGCGATTTGGTCTGTTATGGAGAGGGAGGTCTCAAGAGTATCTCACAACAGTGTCACCACTTTGAAGAAAGCTTTGATGAAGTTATGGTCAAAACTTGGTGCGACACTCATGCCAGGCAGTGCCAGGTCATCTCCAGGCTATGATAAAGGCAAAGGGTGGCCCAATTGAGATGTAAATCTTTTTGGTGGCTGAGAATAAAGTTCAGAAACTGTGTTCAATGTTTGTTATGTTTATCTGCAAGCATTTTTGAATAGTGCGGAAAAAACAATGGGTAAATCTTTCTGGCCCACTCTGTACTCTATATATAATTTTATTTTTATTTTTCACTTTCATATACAGACGGAGAGTAGAGTAGCGTCTCAGCAAATTCACATAGCACTGTTCTTTGTTTGACCCCAATAATAATTAATAATGGCATTCATTTTACATAATTTTGTTTTTATAATATTTCACATACTTTGCCTACAAAGATTTACCTTCTGTTAAAAAAAACACATACAATATCAGAAATCCCTCAGAATCACAATTCAGCATCAACTCATCTTTACTGCAGTACATTTGTGTACGTGCTGGCGTGTGTGTGTGTGTGTGTGTGTGTGTGTGATAGTGCGTGCCATCATTACCCTTGAAAAAGCTATGAACTGCTGCTCCACATATTGTATGGTTATCAGAAGAAGAACAAACTTAACGAAGCAAGAAATTAAGTAGGCAAGAAAGGACAGGTAGGTAAACGTGTTGAAGTAACATTTGGGGTCTTTGAGGGCGATGTGTAGAAATTAGACTTGTGAGTGTTTGAGAACACGACTGAGGAAAAACATGGTTTGGAACAGCACTATCTGGAGCAAATAATGCGTATCATTGTTCAAACAAAAAAGTGGGATATTAAGGGGATTAGAATGTGTGTATCCACACAGAAATTTTTGAATCACATTAGACACTTATTTGCAACATGTCATTGCTAGCAGTGTAGTGTTCCTGCAGAGAAAGGTCAAAGAAACCATAAACCAAAAAAGTGGAGTGGTACAACAAATTTGTCGTGGCGCCTTAAAGACCGACACTGTGGTAGCAGCTTTAGGCAACACACTTTTTTAGTCTAGTCCATCAGTTACTGATCTGTATTTATTAGTACTTTTCTGTCCAACACTAAAGCTTATCAAAAACATCAGCAAAAACTTTAGATGCCAATTTTTGTTAAGTGCATTAGTTGTTGAATCAAACTTGCACTTGATGTGTAAAACTTGGTGTAAATGCCACAGTAATGTCAACCTGAGAATAAAAAAATTGTCTATTCAGTGCTAAGGAGTGTTCCCAGGTTGTTGTTTTTTTTTAATCGAATTTCTTGTAGCAAAACAGAACAAATCTTACAATAAGTTTTTCTCCTGTTTCTGTCATTGTCACACTGATTACTGTGTAGCTGGTTGTACTGAAAAGCCATGTCATTGTATTTTTTCTACATTCTTATATAAATGAGATATCCAGCCTGATACAATACTGTTATTGGTGTTGCTGCATTGTCAGTTAATGAATGAAAAAACACTGTCTGTTCATCAGCCTTGTGTTTGCTCATAATTTACAAGCAACTAATTCTGGAAACAATGTCCTGACGTTTACAGTCAATTTTTAGATCTGAGGGACATTTGTGTTTATGCAATCAATGCATTTTTACTTAAGGAATTTCAGCAAGCCTGTGCAAATGAAACAGAGAGTGAAGGTGATGAGCGGTGCTGCTCAAACAGCCAGTGTTGACACTGAGAGTAGAAAGCGCTCCGTTAGTCAGTGTCTACTACAGTAATGCCTGCTGCAGCCTCTGTTCAACTGGGTGACTGAAACCCTTTCCTCCATGTTCTGTGAAGCCACTGCACTCAAAGACAGACATTTTCTGGAAGCAATAGAAGATAAAAAAATGGTGTAGCGTTTGCTCAAAGTAGAGCTAAGGAACACACATAAATGCTCCTCAGAGTCCCCCGCCCCAACTGTTCAAAACTGCTCTGTGGTGTTTGAAACGGTATTGAGTATTTTCCTTAGTACTTATGAGTCTTATACAACAATAACTTTAATTAATGGCACCTAATGGGTCTGGCACATACAGCATGCTCAGTGATGCACATACACCCACTAAAAGCTGTGCTCTAGAGAACACAATACATCCAGTCATTCTCATACCTCCTCACAACAAAGTCTTTGTTTGACTAATTAAAAACTTGTTCCTCTGCCTTCACACAAAATGAGTTCACTGACCTCATTCAAAAGTTAAAAATTGAGAAACTCCTACAACTTCTCAACAACTTTTTGCAATTGTGCGTAAAAGATTAAAACATTTGCCGTGACAGCAGTTGCAGTGTCCTGCACATCATAAAAATCTGCCTAATTCTCTGTTCTGGGAAGTACTCCAAGGATTCTGCAGTAACAACACAGGATAATCAAAAAGATTTGAAAAGTAAAGGCTTTTGATGTTGTGTGACGATGACTTGTCAATGAAGAACTTTTTTGTTTAGATGTGTGTTGGAGCAGCAGAGGAACCCTGCAGATTTAGTTGCATCATCACTAACTTGTCATCTATGATTTATGTTTCCGAACAGACTTTTTGGCTGTTCTGTAAGTGAGAGGTGGAACCCTGCTGAGCATCTCAACCAAAATCTGCTTTTTTCTTTTTTTTTTTTTAATTTATCATTACATTTTTTTTAATTGTTAACAAGATGGTTCAATACTGAAATCATACTGAAAAAAGAGAGAGATTGCTCCCTAATTGTTGAGTTTATTTTAGAATCAAGCTGCCAAATGATTAAAATGTGCTAATCTGAATAATCACCCATGATGGAATTAATGATATTGCATAATATAAAGAAAATTATACAGATGTTTAACTTAAAATTTAGCTTCATAGAGTTGGTTGAGTTTAGTCATTACATCCCTTTATTTCAAAATGTTAGCGGCGCTGTTGTTCTCAACTATATTTATTAATCTAGAGACCCTCACTATCTATTTGACAGTTGTGTCAGTCAGATTGTCAGCTGTACACTAATGTACAGTCCTGTGCTCAGTGAGGCTGGTCTGACACAAGCCAAGTAAAGCCTCTATAAACATGCTACATGTTTAGATGGCTTGATGACTCAAGGTACATTGGTGAAAATAAAACTTTTTAACCATAGTGTGTGTGAATGACAACATGTTTATGGACTGTTTGGTAGAGCACCCACACTGTAAGGGGATAGACAGTGAAATTTTTGGATAGGTCCTTTAAACATTTGTTTAAACATAAGTAATGCTGTAATTTGGACCTTCGTAGTTTGAGGAACGCATGTTGGTGTGTATATAATAAATAAATAGAAATGTAATACCTTGCCCCTTCAGAAAAAAACAACTTATCATCATCTTCGTTAATCTCTGAAGTCTAGTTTCCAAAACAGGTTTATTAGCAAAACATTTCATATTTAGTTTGAAATAAACTCTTTTGACAACAGAAGCTGTTCAGCTGCAGAAAGACCCACTCTATCATTAACAGTGACTTGAAAACACCAACAACATATAGAATCACAGAAAGTCTGATGATTTAACTTTAGACAGTTCTGTATTTGTCCTCCTTTAAAATAGTTTTAAAACAAAGAAAAAATCACTAAACACCTCAGCTACTGTATTTAATACAAATATATAAAACATGATATTGCCTGCAAGCATACGTATTGTCTATGCAAGCTATTTGTCAAGGAAGCAAATCC